CTGGGTTTTGTTCTGATGGGCAGGGCCATGCTCAGTAAATCTTTAATCCAATCTTCTGTTGATGGGTGGGGCTGTGTTCCCTCCCTGTTATTTCCCTGGGGCCAAACTATGACTTCCCTGGTGGCTCAGACTGTAAAGCATCTGCCTACAATGTGAGATACCTGGATTCAATCCCTGGGTTGGGAAGATCTCCTGGAGAAGGAAATTGAAACCCACTCCAGTATTCTTGCCTGGAAAATCCCATGGATGGAGGAGCCTGGTGGGCTACAGTCCAAGGGGTCACAAAGAGTTGGACACGACTGAGCGACTTCACTGAACTATGGTGGAAGTAATGAAGATAATGGCGACCTCCTTCAAAAAGCCCCATGCATGCCCCGCTGCACTCAGTGCCCCCAACCCTGCAGCAGGCCACCGCCAACCCACGCCTCCGCCAGAGACTCCTGTACACTCATGGGCAAGTCTGGGTCAGTCTCTTGTGGGGTCACTGCTCCTTTCTCCTGGGTCCTGGTGCAAACAGTGTTCTGTTTGTGCCCTCCAAGAGTGTGTTTCCCCAGTCCTGTGTAAGTTCTGGCAGCTCTATGATGGGGTTAATGGTGACCTCCTCCAAGAGGGCTTATGCCATACCCAGGTCTGCTGCACCCAAAGCCCCTGCCCCCACAGCAGGCCACTGCTGACGGTACCTCCGCAGGAGACACTCAAACACAGTTCTGTCTCAGTCTCTGTGGGGTCTCTGGGTCCTGGTGCACACAAGGTTTGCTTGAGCCCTCTGAGCATCTCTGGCAGGTATGGGGTTTGATTCTAAATGCGATTTCACCCCTCCTACCATCTTGCTGGGGCTTCTCCTTTGCCCTTGGACATGAGGTATATCCTCAAAGTCACCTCAGCACTGCACAGCTGCCACTCCAGTGCCTACAGTCTTGCTGGGGCTTCTCTGTCCTTGGACATGGGGTATCTCCTCACAGTCACTCCAGTGCCACACAGCCGACGCTCCAGTGCTGCAGCCATGAAATTAAAAGACGCTTGCTCCTTGGGAGAAAAGTTATGACCAACCTAAACAGCATATTAAAAAGCGGAGATATTACTTTGCCAACAAAAGTCCATCTACTCAAAGCTACGATTTTTCCAGTAGTCATGTATGCATGTGAGAGTTGAACTATAAAGAAAGCTGAGCACTGAAAAATTGATGCTTTTAAACTGTGGTGTTGGAGAAGACTCTTGAGAGTCCCTTGGACTGCAAGGAGATGAAACCAGTCCATCCTAAAGGAAATCAGTCCTGAATATTCATTGGAAGGACTGATGCTGAAGCTGAACCTCCAATACTTTGGCCACCTGATGCGAAGAACTGACTCATTTGAAAAGACCCTAATGCTGGGAAAGATTGAAGGTGGGAGAAGGGGATGACAAAGGATGAGATGGTTGGATGGCATCACCAACTCAAACGACATGAGTTTGAGTAAACTCCGGGAGTTGGTGATGGACAGGGAGGCCTGGTGTGCTGCAGTCCATGGGGCTGCAAAGAGTCGGACACGACTGAGTGACTGAACTGAACTGAATCAGAAAAACATTAAGTTCTGAAAATATTTTGTTTTTATTCTGGTAAACCAAAGTGTGGAAATTTTTAATTATATAAATACAATCCTGCATATTAATTCCTCATTTAAATTAGCCTCTAACAGGGGAAAGACTAACTGCCAGAATGCATTGGAGCAATTCGCAGGAGCAATTTAATTATTTGACAATTTACTTTAATTTATTGACAGAATTGAAAAGGGCAATATTTAAACATAAGCACTTCTCATTAAAAGTCTTTCAAGCAGTTTTAAGTTTGCATAACATTGTCCCATTTGTTAATTAAAGCTTAAAAAACATTCTTCTCTCATTGTCTTTAATCAGTGGAGTTTGGAACTGGGTTATACCTGCCTCCATCTTAGGAGGAACCATAACAAAGACACAAATGGAGCTATGTTCCTAGCCCAAGGGGAAACTATTGTTGAATTATTACCAACGTCTTGAGGAATGTTGTCTCTTCTGCAGGACAGCCAGCGGATATGCTTACAAGGTTGTTTAGGTTACATTCATTTACCAGCAAAAATTCAGATGGTCACTATTTAGTGAGAAAAGTTTTAGGCAAATGTCCTGACAGGTATTTAAATGCATCTATTCTTGACAACACCAGAAAATTTCATTGAGATGTCTTTCGTGCCAAGATATATACCTTCAAAATACAACGTGGTGGAGATAAGGGATTCCAAGAGGCACTTGTCTAAAGTAGGCTTTGAAGTGAAGTGGAGACCAGCAGCTCTTGCCTAAACCATCTTTTCTGTAAATTCTTTCTTCATCTACCTTGTCCCAGCATCTGTCACTGAGACAACACCTGATATAGAAAGAATATATTAGCCTGACTTAATATATTGTTATCAGCTCTATGTCACTCTGTAGTGTCATCAGGAGAGATTCAATCAAAAGGTTTAGTCAAAACTAACATTTACTGATATCTTTTTCTCAGGAGCATTGACAATTTGACTGTTCAAAGTGCAAATATCACTGGGCAAAGTATTTATCAGAACTACAGAGGTAATGTTTAAAAAAAAAAGTAGATTGAGAAACCTGAATTCAATGTGTTTTACCAGCCAAAGACTTTGAAGCCACTTTCCTATGAGTGACTGGAATGAAACAGAACAAAGTCAATTACTGACTGTAATTAAGAAGTGGATGTGTTTAAACTGTAGAGAGCAGTAGCAGTCTTCTCCAGACTGCTGAGGAACTTGAAAGATTAGTGGGAAGACAGAGGAGAGGATGCAACTGCATCTTTCTAATAGTATGCTTTAAATGAATTGCATTCACATAGTTCTCTGGTCCAGCTTCCCAAAATGAATTCATAAATCACTGATTATGTACAAATAATGCAGTAATAAATTTGGACAAAGAAACTTTTAAGATACATTTTGCTTTTCATTGTGTTAGCAGTAAAGATTCCCTTTACATTACATAGCATGCACCCCAAATGCAAATGCATTGCTGAAGTACTCATATTTAATCACTCTTTGAATTTACTAGACTGAAAATTGAACCTTGTTGGCTTTTTCCTAAACCCTCAGAATATGGTAAATCTAATTATGTTTGTTTCTAGCACTTTGAAAGTGTTCCTTTTTATAATTTTGGTAATAGTTTATTTATAATGGCAGAGAAATAGGTTGTACATTGCATTTGGGCTAATTCATTTTTCTGTGTGTATGTTAGCAAATTGTAACATTATGTAATACATTCATAATCAAAATATTTATATTCAGATTAGGATGAAGGTAGAGGTCAAGGACATTACTAGTTTTCTTAGGTTAGTTAGAAGTGACCTTATATTTTTAGATTACTATTTCTGTGGCAACACTTTATACAAAGTAAATATTTGGAACTTTATATAAGTAAAGAACATTGCAAGGGTGTTCAGATAATTAAGCAAACATCAGCTTAACTGTCTTTTACAAGATACATAAAACAGAGGACTATTTGGAGGCTATTTTGAGCTACCCCAAATCTTACATGCAATTTTATTTAAAAAAAAAAGTGATAGGCCCTGGTAATCTGTCAAATTCTAGTGTGCATAATTAAGTTCCCTTTTATTTTCTAATCTTTCATGTCTCTTAATTGCATGTACTTTGATACTTCCTTTTTTGACTGTTGTAAAAAGTTGGGATTCAACTCACTCAAGAATGATTATATTGCAGCACTGAATAATGTTGCATCTCTAAATAATTGTTCTTAAATATCAATGCAAATGAATATATCTGTATTGTGTAAACAAAGATTTCTTTAAGACTTCAGGATTGTTGTCATTAAATGTTACCATAAGAATCACTGAAACTTCAGAGTGAGCTATTTTGGGTAATTGTCACTTTAATGATAGAATTACAGAGGCATTTTATACTACGATTTGTGATTTTCTGAATTTGTGCCGTATTTCAGCTCTTCCCTCCCATTTAGAGGAAGTAAGGCTGAGAAGAGGTGACTAACTCCTGATTGAGTATTTTGAGATGTCTGTCCTCTAAACCTCTGAAGCCTTGCTTGATGCATGACAGTAGTTGGGAAATGTTCATCTTCTTGGTGACACAAAAAAGTCAATAATACAAAGGGAAAATCTTCACCTTTCAGACTGATAGCCTGAAACAAAGAGCATGTCCACACCTTCTCTAATCAAATTCTTCTCTAAGTAGTCCTTTATGTGCAAAATCAAGTTTTCTGTAGGGTCACATCCTTCTCTAACAATTCCAAGGAGAAAAAGGTTCCCTTTATTGAAAAACTTATAGTTGTATGCTAAATATTGCCAACTACTTAACAGCCCTAAACTTATGGAACAAGAATGTTCTTCTGATACATACTATCCATGAGAGGTCCAAATATGTAAATGAACTTTTATTCTAATGTACTCTCTTTGTGGGGAAATTGGTCTTTATTACTTTCCTATAGATCTTTTTGATAAGAAAGTAGAAATAGCCAAATGTTACTCGTTAGAATGACCTTTTAGAAAAGTCTGCATTAGTCTCTTTGGTAAATAATCTGTTTTAGTACCCTCCATAAAAGGAAATCAAATATAGAGATGCTATTAGATTTGAAAAAGACAAACAGGAAAGAGCCAAACATGCAGAATGAATTCTGACACACCCGGGTGCATTTTTCTGTGATTCTGACTTAAGTGGATACTGTCTGCATTATTCCGAACTTCCTGACTTGCTTTTCCATGAGTTGGAGTAATTCAGCTTTAGACCTACTCTTGAGTTAATCGTTCTATTATTGAAATGATAATGTATTTGTTATGACATGAAGAAATGGTTTGTAGAGAGCAGTTCAAAATGATCCTAGTCTCCCAGTTCCCAGAAAGACAATTACTGGAATACAAGAAAATATCTCAGTGTATTAAAGTGTGTTTTTTTTTAAAGCATATATTTTTAAATGGAACAGATCATTTTATATGGTTTGCTCACCTGTTGATTTTTTTTTTTTTTAAGATCACAACTTTATCAGGAAATGAGTTCCTTCTGCAGTCAGATATTGACTTCATCATATTGGATTGGTTCCACGCTATCAAAAATGCAATTGACAGACTGGTATGTATTTGTTTTAGCTGTTACCTTTATTAATTAGAATATAGTCTTTTAAACCAATTGCTTATGCATATTGCACACATACATTTAAGTAGATCCTATGAGTTGACAGTTATTAAGTTATATTAATTTAAACAGTCCACTAATGCAGTTTTCAGCATTTGTGATTGCTGACAGGATTTGTGAAACTAAATGACATTTGATTTCTCTCTTTAAAAATACAATACATTCATTTTTTTTCCTGAAATAACAGACATTGATTTAGTGAAGGCTTTATAAAGCAAACAAGAACTTAATAGCTACTAAATTTTCACATTTTTGGTTTATGCAATCTGTAATACATATTCTTGAAAATAAATATCAGTGTATTTAAGCCCATACTCACTGTTATAATACTAGTAAATAATAATCCTTTGTATTGATTTCCATTGTTCTTTCAGCTAAGCTAGATTGTTCTCTTGAAAATTACATATCTAGAACTTCATGAAATTACCCTAAATCACAAGTTTAGAGTATGTTCTTAAAAGAGTCAAATTATTTAAAACTACTCATTTTATACTGTTTATCAACCAAACATCTTATTTAGGACATGAGTGTTTGCAAATCTTGACAAGAAAATATTCTTGAGAGCTTTTAATAAGGTATAAAAATAATAATATTTTTGTGATTTTATTGTGATTTAATCCCACACTTCTGTTATATTATTTTGGGATCAAAACTTTAAAAAGTAAAATAGCAAGTAAGTTTTTCCCCATTATCATTATAGTTCCCTTATCCAGGCACACATATGCGCACACACACACACACATGTGTATGCATTTTTTATCATTATGAGCAAACTCTGGAGTAAAACTGCCTGAGTTTGAAAGTTTGAATCTGATTTTTCTAGCTGTGTGGCCTTAGGCAAATTGTTTATCTCTTTTGGCTTCAGTCATCTTGTCTGGAAAATAAGGGTAATAAAATACCTACCTCATGGGATATCTGTAATAAGTAATTGAATTAATGCATGGGGTGCTTAGGCTATGCACAGCATTTAATAAGTAATATTATATATATATACACACACATATATATGTATATCATTTATAATTTGAAAATTAAGCTTAGCATAGGGGCCTTATTTTAAAATAATTATCTTATTTCAAACTTCTTGTTAATCTAACATCAAAATAGATCACAGAACTATTTAGTGAATTTTTTTCTTCTATGTAAAATTGTTCCGTCTAATTGTTATTTCCAGCCAAAGGATCCAAGTAGTCATTCAAGAAACCTGGAATTATTTAAAATCCAAAGATCCTCCAGTACTGAACTACTAGGTCACTATGATAGTGATATAAAAGAACAGAAACCAGAGCACAGAAAATCTTTAAGTAAGTATTTTTTTTGACTAGCTCATTTTAACTTTGTTTAAACTTAGTGCTTATAAAATGTAGATACATTGAAATGAGGTTTCAGCCAAACTCATGCTACTCATGGACGATTCATAGCCATTTCTTTAGCCAGGAATTCACGCAGTTGAGGGCAGTCTGAGTACTTTGCTCACATCATTGGTAATGCCTTTTGAGAAAATAATTGTTCCAAGGTCATGGTCTCTGCTTACAGCAAACTTCTGAATCTAAGTAATAACCATGGCGTTCAGATTGGTGATTGATTTCAAGAGTGGGAAATGTCAAGCGTCTCCAAACCTTGGTATGCTGACTATTTGATTTTCATACATTAAAAGATATATGAGTGACCTGACATAAACCAACAGGCTATGCAACTTGCCACTTGTTTCAACCACCAGAAAGATTTATAAATGTGTAATGTGGATTAGATATCCTCGAGGTCACATCTAGTTCTAATTTTCTTAAAAAAAAAAAGAATTTGAAGTGAAAAGGACCAGTCTGTTCACTTACATAGTGACCTTGAGCATAATTGTTCATCTTTTTCACCCTTTTTGGGGGTGTTGTTCAATCACTAAGTCGTGTCCGACTCTGTGACCTCATGAACTGCAGCACCCCAGGCTTCCCTGTCCTTCACTATCTCCCGGAGTTTGCTCAAACTCATGTCCATTGAGTCAGTGATGCCATCCAACCATCTCATATTCTGTCATCCCCTTTTCCTCCTGCCTTCAATATTTCCCAGCATCAGGGTCTTTTGGTGGCCAAAGTGTTGGACCTTCGCTTCAGCGTCAGTCCTACGAGTGAGTATTCAGGACTGATTTCCTTTAGGATTGACTGGTTTGATTTCCTTGCTTTCCAAGAGACTCTCAAGAGTCTTCTATCTTTTCACCCTGTTTCTTCCTCAATAAAGAGGGTTATGGAAAGGTGTTGTGCATATCTCACAGAGTTGATTTGAATATCAGCTCCCTCAAAGAACAAGTAGATATCTCTGGAATCAGAGAAAAACTGTTTCCCAAAGTCTCATAAATTATAGTACCTTTCTGGGATCATCTATCTACATACATTCAGTCTTCTGAATCACCAGTTTTTCTGCCATTTCCATCTGACTAAAGATCAGATTATATCCTGTAATTATATTCTAGCTTTTTGAACTTAAGGAGAACCCAGTAAGTAGAGAAAGGCTGATTACAGAATATCTACTTGTGTACAGGGGCTTCCCTGGTAACTCAGCTGGTAAAGAATCTGCCTGCAATGCAGGAGACCCCAGTTCGATTCCTGGATCAGGAAGATCTCCTGGAGAAGGGATAAGCTACCTATTCCAGTATTCTTGGGCTTCCCTAGCAGCACAGACAGTAAAGAATCCTCCTGCAATGTGGGAGATCTGGGTTCGATCCCTGGGTTGGGAAGATCCCTTGGAGAAGGGATAAGACTACCCACTCCAGTATTCTGGCCTGGAAAATTCCATGGACTGTATATCCATGGGGTCGCAGAGAGTTGGACATGACTGAGCGACTTTCACTCACTCACTCATGTGTACATGAATAAATACACTGGATGACCATATATGTATATACATATATTTGTGTGCATCAGAGAATTATATATATATATACACATAAATACACATGTACAACCCCTCACACATGACAAAATAGAGGGAGGCTAGTTATATGTGATAATATATCTTCTAAATCTAAATTGTTATGAGTCTGAATCTAGAAACAGCATGGTAACTTTGAGGAGGAGCACCCTTTCAAAATTGTCATGATTCAGAGAACCATGCCATAATTTCAATATCGTTGGTACAGATTTGGTTAGCCAGTTGTGTTAAGTTAGAACTTAAAATTATCAATGTTAGTGTCTTATACTGTATGGTGCATTAAAATTAAATTATTTGTGGAAAATAAGCAGTGCCATTTAAAAAAATTTTTCCATATGATGGTACAGTTTGATATTGCCTCATTTAAGGATTTCTCTTTATTTCTTGCTCATTGTCCCTCTTGACTTAATATGGGTACAAACATAAGATTTTAGAATTAGAATTTGATTGTGAGTACATAGCTAATGTTAATGGCATAAACATTTTGTAGTAGGTATAAACGGAGAAGGAGATGGCAACCCACTCCAGTATTCTTGCCTAGAGAATCCTGTAGACAGAGAAACCTGGTGGGCTGCTGTCCATAGGGTCGCACAGGGTCAGACGCGACTGAAGTGACTCAGCAGCAGCAGCAGCAGTGGGTATAAAATGAGGTATGAGAGAAAAAAAAAAATGAGGTATGAGGCAATGAGCAGTAGCTCTGGAATCTCATATATAACTGCTGGTCTGGAGCAGACTTTGACACATTTCTAAAGCCTAAAGCTCAGGAGAAAATTAAGGTAAAAGTATGTATGAGAAACATTGAGGTAAATGGATTTTGTATTCAACGATAGTCACTTGAAATGTTTTCAGACCATATTGGAGAAAAAAAATTCCTACAGGTAGAACACCAGTTACCCGTTTTGAACTTTTTTTAGTGGAAAAGACAATTATTTGTCTATTTTGGGCCTACATTTAGTCTTGTCTAAATACAAGGAAAGAGACATATGATTAATTCTATTAATTTCAGAGTATTTAACTGTACAAGAATCATATTGCTTTTTTCTTTGCAGTTAAAAAATAATGATACCGAGAAAATATTGAGTACTTACTATCCAGGCATTGTTCTAAGTGCATGTGTTACATTGATTTACTTAATCCTCCACTAACCCAATGACATAGGTACTATTATTAACCCTATTTTATAGCTAGGAAAGTAAGGCACAGAAAATTAAAACAACTTGCACAAAGACAAGTTATGGAAACAAGTTTCAAACTCAAGGAAACCAATATTAGACTCAGTGCTTTTAACAATAAAGCTAGAATGAACAAATAAAAGGTAAACTTAGTTTATATCAACCTTGGACTTGGATGGAAATATTAAAAATGATATCCATATAAATCAATAAACTTAAATAGAGACCCAAAAACATATTAGCAAAAGAATTAAAACCAGATGTTGATTTTGGACTTTGATTTCACTGTTAAACTAAAAGGGTCATTTAATCTTTAACACTAGCCCTAATTTTAGAAAATGCTTCTTTTTTGTATTTTGGTAGATATTAATAGTTTTAAGCCTTTTTTAGGACTAATCTATTTTTTGCAAAGTAAGAATACTGTTAATATCCATCTATTACTTTGAATTAAGTTCATTCAGTATTTACAGATTCATTTTCATTTGAAAGGCATAATGATTGTCCCACCCATACAATATCAAATTAGCTAGGCATTTGAAATAGTGATTGGCATATTTTATATCTGATGCTTTTTACAGTATTTTCTGAAGAAATAGGCTCTATGAAACCCCTCTGATCTTAATTCCAGATTTGAACACCCAAACTTAGGTTTTTAAAACATGCATTTGGTTTTACAGCACCCTCTTGAGATTAAATAGTTATATTAAGTTAGATATTCACAGTATCTCCTTCCTTGTTAGCAGTCTAAGCACAAACTTTACTGTCAGTTTGCTGCCTTTGGCTTCCTGTGCCCTTGATGTTCCCACGAGTTTTGTCGCCAAGATCGTAGACAGATAAAGCCAGAATTACTTTTTTTTAAAAGCATGTGAACATCATTAGCAGCTAACAGGTGGTCATTTCATTGTCCAGTTTCTCTGTATAACATGGGAAAAATATGTACTCTCAGTGAGTGAAATCAGAAAGTTAAGTGCTTAAATATACTCTCCTTTTAAAAATATGATTCTAACCTGCCAACACTATTAAGTACTAATCAGATATTTTAAGATATCAGTTGAGTCTAACAGACAAGAAGCCAGAACATTCGATGTGAGGGCCAAATCACTGTGGGAAATTCAGGACATCAGCATGGGATGAGAGCGGGAGCGCTGCTCTCCAGGGACGGCTGTTATGGAAAGTGGAGAATCAATCAAAGAAAATGCTAACATATTTTTCCAAGGAAAGAGAACTGTCTTCAACTGATGGCAAAGAGGAAAGCCTCAAATATAAACCCAAAAAGTCTTGGAGAGCTTTCTCAACTTTTCTGAGCTTTACTCTCTAGATCTATAAAAATGGATCTAATACTGTCCTTGCCGCATCGACTGAGAATGTGAAATTAGATATGTAAATACTTAGTTCACAGCAGACACTCAATAAGTAGGAGCTCTTATTATTATCCTCTGTGTCCCCAAGCAGATGGCACCAAAATAGGGCATAAGCCAAGGGTGGTGTCTGATGGAAGATTGGAGCAGGGCACATATACTTCACATCCTCTCTTTGAGTGTAGAGAAAATAGGGGAAAGGAGCCAGACCTGTAAATGGGAGTTATGGTTGCAAAAATCTAAATATGAACAGCTGGTCTTTCCCCTGGCCACTCCCCAGGTGAAAATGGCAGCCAGGGCATTCTTGGGAGCAACACACCAGGAACTCATACAAGGGAGCCAAGAGATACTCTTGATTCTTTTATGCCCAGAAGAGCAGGTCATTAAGAAGTCCCAGTTGATGGAAAGAATTCAGCATCTAGACATTTCACCATTGCTTTACCCATAGCTCTAGTTTACTCACTCATTCGTGTGTTTATTGTTCTTCATTAATAGGTATACCTAAAGGCACACCACTAAAATTCATGGCTCCACTCATCTGTATTTCCAAGTTTTTTAAATTATTTTTGCATTTAGGCTATGTATAAGGAATAATATGTCTCGGTCTCATCATTTGCTGAGCTGTAAAATCTATATATGGGAATCTAGAGTAAATTTTATGAAAAATTGATACTTAGCATTATAAATAAGCACCCCCAAATGAACATAAGTTAGAAGAATAAAATCAGATATAATAGAATCAAAAGGAAATGGGTTTCCTTTTAGCTGTGCTTTGATGAAAGTACCATAAAAACCAAAAGTGTTCTGGGTAAAATCCTTAAAGTATTTAGATATTAATTTCCTAATTCCACAGCC